TCAGGATGAAAGTCAAACTTCTGCATCCTCTTGTGATGAGACTGAGATACAGATCAGCAACCAGGAACAAGCTGAGAGAGAGCCAACTGGCCATGTCACCAAAACAAGGAGAAGGCGCAGGACTGTCCGTGTGGACCCTGACTCGCAGGTGAATGGAAATATACAAATTGAAAATATAGGGCCAGGGAGCTTTCTTTTTAAATTCCCATGTGATGTCATGTGTTTGTAAGCTTACTGTATGCTGTAAGCTCCATGAAAGCCCAGACCCGAGTCCAGCTGCTCATCACTGCATCCCAGGGCTTGGCCCTCAGGAAGCACTTTTTAAGTATTAAGCTCACATTAAATATTTGTTGTATAAATATGAACATTCATTAAGTGTTCACTTAAGTGAGGTGTAGTAGATAGGTAGGAAAGAGAAACAAGAATTAAATGTGCTTTTTGTTGTTTTTTTCATTGGTTTGTTTAAATTCTCCTTCCTACCTTGCCCCTGGCCTGGTGATCACCCTGTACTTAGTCTTTCAGCAGTGTGATCACATGATTAGCAAGGGGCTTCCCTCGCTTGCTTTCTGTAGACTCTGGTTTTATTCTTTTATCTTATCCTTTCATTCAAATGTAATTTTTACAAAGCACAGTCTTTTTTTTTTTTTTTTCTTCTTCTTTTTTTTGAGATGGAGTTTCCACTCTTGTTCCCCAGTGTGGAGTGCAATGGCACCATCTCAGCTTACTGCAACCTCCACCTCCCAGGTTCAAGCAGTTCTCCTGCCTCTGCCTCCTGAGCAGCTGGGATTACAGGCGGCCACCACCACACCCAGCTAATTTTTGCATTTTTAGTAGAGATGAGATTTCACTGTGTTGGCTGGGCTAATCTGAACTCTTGACCTCTGGTGATCCACCCACCTTGGCCTCCCAAAGTGCTGGGATTACAGGTGTGAGCCACCATGCCCAGCCCCGAAACACAGTCTTAATTTTCTTTTCTATGTTCATATTGTTGCAGTAAACTGAGGAACAGAGAGACTAATACGGAGTACAGGAGGATTTGTTTGTTTTAGGCACACACCAGCTCAGAGGATTCACATCTGAAAGCTGAGCCTTGAACAAAGATAGCCAAGGTTTTTATAAGCAGCTTTACAGAAGCAAAATAAAAGCAATTAATCATACAGTAACAGGTTACATAATCTATAGCATAAAATAACTTGACTTAGCCAGTGGCCTTGTAGCTGCATTAAAAGGAAAACAAGAACTGGCTAAATACAGACATTTGTAAAACATAATCATGCTAATCATGCTTAAGAAGCCTGGGAAAAGAGTAACAGTAAAAGAACTTGTGTTTCTCTTTTTTTTTTTTTCTTTCAACCTTGCTCTGGAACGGGGAAGGAGTTGGGGGGAGGGTGGTGTCTGGAGCTTATTCCTTTGGCCTTGGCTATTCAGACAGCGTTATCTCTAACTGTCTTTAAAGGGAGCTGCTAGGCAGAGGAAAACTTGTTCTTTTCTTTTGAACTCTTGCCTTGCCACGTTCTGGGCCTTAGCTTTTACTTTTCTTGGAGTGAATAAATGCAGCACTTATTATTATTATTATTTAAGTTTCTGCCTCAATATAGTCACTTGCTCAGTAGACTATCTAGGTTTCTTCATTTGTCCTTGCTAAGACAGTTAATCTTGCCATTTCTATTTTCCTATTAATGTGTCCTATTATCTCCTATTCTCAAATTTACATCCTCATGACATTTGATAAGGCAGAGAACCAAATCTGCCACCAAAAATCTCATTATCCTACTTTTCTTCCTTTAACCCCTTTTCCCCCTCACTTTGGTACTTGTCTTTGGAAGGCAGCAATTATTTCTTATTTATCATCAAAATATTTTATTTTCTTTTTAAATTTGTAGCAGAATCATTCAGAGATAAAAATAAGTAATCCCACTGAATTCCAGAATCATGAAAAGCAGGAAAACCAGGATCTCGGAGCTACTGCAAATGTTCCTTCTCCACCAGATGAGCACCAAGGAGCTGAGAATGCTGTTTCCTCAGGTAAACGTGGAATAAATGGTATGTCAAGTGACTTGAAAAACCAAAATTGCTAGAAGTAGCTGGGTACATTAGTTTCCTAGGACTGTCGTGACAAAGCACCACAAACTGGACAGCTTACAAAAACAGAAATTTACTCTTTCATAGTTCTAGAGGCTGGAAGTCCAAAATCGATGTGTCAGCAGGACCATGCTTCTCTGAGACTCTGGGTGGAATCCTTCCTGACTACTCTGACTACTCTGCGATGGCTGTCGACGCCTGGTGTTCCTTGGGTTGCAGCTGCATCATGCCAGTCTCTGGCTCTGACAGCGCATGACATTCTCCCTATATGTCTTTTTAATAGGACACCAGTCATATTGGATTAGGATCCACCCAAATAGGCCAAGCATAGTGGCTGATGCCTGTAATCCCATTACTTTAGGAAGCCAAGTCAGGAGGATTGCTTGAGCCTAGGAGTTTAGGACCAGCCTGGGCAACATGGCAAGACCCTGTCTCTACAAAAAGTCAAAAGAATCAGTCAGCCATGATGGTGCACATCTGTGGTCCCAGCTACTCAGGAGGCTGAGGTGACAGGGTCGCTTGAACCCAGGAGGTTAAGGCTGCAGTGGGCCATCTTCATACCACTTCACCCCAGAGTGTACAGAGTGACACCCTATCTCAAAAAATTAAAAGAACGTCCAAATGATGTCATTTTAACCTTAATACATCTGAAAAAAATTCCTATATCTAAATAAGGTCATATGACAGGTACCAGTGGTTAGGACTTCAACATATCTTTTAGGGGCCACAATTCAACCC